TATGTAAAGGTGCAAATTTCCAATGATGAATGTCATTATATTGTATACCTAAAATGTACCAATGATTAGAATGAATAATTGATAATGTGAAATATGAAGAAAAGGTTCAAAGGGGTAGGGATAGTGGGAAGGTCAGGGGAAAGGAAAGAAAGGAAAGGAAAAATGATGAGAAATGGAAAAAATGGAAACAAAGTCTTGGTAAATAGGGAAGGGTGGAGGGGGTGAAGGGAGGGCTATGAATGGGGAAAAAATAAGAATCAAGATGCATCATGAAAAGGCACAATTCCCAGTGAGAAATGTAAATGTGTTATATACCTAAAATGTACCAATAAAAGAATTTAATTTTTTAAAAAGTGGACCTACCAAATCAGCAACTGAGAGTGAGTCCAGCAGTTGGCTTTAAATAGTGCTCTCCATAATTCTGACTCACCTAGGGTTTGACAGTCTCTGCTCCAGTATAACATGTACAAGTCCACGAATTTTCCATACAAATTATCAAGGATATATTGATTGCTTAATTTTATTCTATGAAAATCATATCATTTAATAATACCTAATAATGTGATTCTCTTTTGGTCGTTTGTGCTAAAAATATACTTCTTAATGGCAATCTTTTTATTTTGAAACCTTGTTTAACCTGTGCCATTTACTAACACTAATAGAACATGTTAAACTTTGCAAAGTGTAAATTTAACTAACCTCAGTAAATAGGTAAATGTTTTCTTTAAAAGAAAGAGAAAAGGAACCTGAGAGGCTGCATCACCTACTCAAGTTATATGCCAGTAACTGGTGAAGCCATGACTTAAAAAATGTGTTCTGAGGACTGTGGTACTTTTGTGGAAAAAAAAAAAAGTGCATAAGTTAATAATAAAAATAGTAAACAGTAAGCTTTGATGTCTTCTCCAAATTATTCCTTCAAGAAAGTTATCAAAATCTGTTTAAAATTCTTCATAATACTCAATGTTTATTTATTGCACACCTGCTTTGTACCTGGTACTGGTTTAAGCACTGAGACTATAGCAGTAACCAAAAGACTGCTGTTTTATGGAGTTTATGCTGTAATTTGATGAAACAGACTAATTACATAAATGTGTATTATACTATCATTAAAAAACTTGAACAAGAATATGATTAGTCCTATTATGATGCATCCATAACAATAGTATAATGCTCGCCAGGGAGTTAGCTCAGTTGTTCCGCCGCCTGCCTTGCAAGCGCAAGTCCTGGGTTTGATCCCCAGTACAAAAAAAAAAAAATAGTATAATGCTCTTGATCTCCTATAAAGTGGGGTAGAAAGTATACAAAATTGGGCTGGGGATTTAGCTCAGTGGTTTCGCCGCCTGCTGCGCAAGCACAAGGACCCAAGTTCGATCCCTGGTACCAAAATGAAAAAAGGAGACAAAATTATTGAACATACTTTGTCATTCCACTTTTACTTTTTTTTACCACAACATTCTGATTTAATGTTTTCATGTGATTCAATCTTGACAATTGATACAGTCTTTTAAAATTATGTTCATATTCAATATTTGCCTGATTTCTAGTGGAAATTTTATAATTTCTCTTAAAATGGTGGTAGCATTACTTTTAGCTGCTATCCAGTATCAAAATATCAAATGTGGGGCTGGGGATTTAGCTCAGTGGTTTCACCACCTGCTGCGCAAGCCCAAGGACCCAAGTTCAATCCCTAGTACAAAAAAAAAAAAAATCAAATGTCATAAAGTTTAAGGTGTAGCTCTTGAGTTAAATTTTTTGTCATTTTTTATTATGAGAATCTCTGGGTATTTATAAGACTAGTTGCTGTTCTCTATGTAATAAGAGATTATAAACTCAAGTCTTTTTTATTTTCTTTTTAGGGGTTAGAATTGCAAGAAACATCCTGTCATACTGCTGAAGCACGAACAGTTGATGAAATTTTTGAAGGTGCTTTTGAACAAGAGTACTCAAAAGTATGTTCCCTTAATGAACACTTTGGGAATGTCTTGACACCCTGTACCATTTTGCCTGTGAAACTATATTCTGATGCCAGGAATGTCCTCTCTGGCATAATTGACTCTCATGAAAACTTGAAAAGTTTTAAAGGTGACCTTATCAAAGTACTTGTGTTCATCCTCCTTCAGTACTGTTCCAAAAGGCCCAGCAAGCAGAATTTTCACAAAACTGAAAGTAAAGGGGAAACATCTTTAATAGTCCTGCCTCCGTCATCATGTCCCAGATCCCCAGAAGACACACACAGTTTTAATTCACAGACTTTCAATGACTGGTCAGATGATATTTTTGATGATGAGCCAACTGTCCAAAAAGGGAAAAATCGGTTGAATGATTTACCAGGTACAACTATTCATCTTCCAGGCTCAGTAGACTCACAGAAAATTGATAATCTTTCTACAGGCACAATTTCTGAAAACAGTCTTTACAAAGCAGTTATGTTGGGATACCCTGCTATTGACAAAGGAAAGCAAGGAAGCATGGCTTATATCTCTCTCACTGAGTTCAGTTCTCTGCATTCTCACTTAGTGAGCTTACCTGAAGAGTGGAGGTCTAGCTGTGTACCCAACTCCAGAATGAAAGAGATGAGCTCCCTCTTTCCAGAAGAATGGTACCAATTTGTCTTAAGTCAGTTAGAATGTTTCCACTCAGAAATGGCCTCAGCTGCACTGGAAGAAATTTCAAAGGACAAAGTTTTAAAAGACTTTTATGTTCACACAGTAATGACTTGTTATTTTGGTTTATTGGGAATAGACAATATGGTTCCTACTCCTGGCCATATATTAAGAGTTTATGGTGGTGTTCTGCCCTGGTCTAGTGCCTTGGATTGGCTCACAATAAAACCAGAACTGTTCCAGCTAGCTCTCAAAGCCTTCAGGTAACTCATTTTCATTATATATACAAGTTAGAACACTGGCATTGGAAGAAAAATGTTTTGTTTTTGTTTTGAGGGTGTTTAAAATTCAGCTGGAAGACTTCAGTTTTAATTTTTAAGTCCCACAAAGAATGAAAAAAACAGTATACATTGTAATTTTATCAGCAGTACTCTACATTCTGCCTTTTTGTTTGTGTAAAGGACCTACTTTTCATGTGGCTGGCTGGATTTCTTCACTCTTACTACATCATTTCTCCTTCAACTCTTTGAAATTTGTATGATTTCAATTCAGTCTTAAAAATATCGATCAAACAAATCTATTTCACCTATGGAGTTGATTTAAAAATTCCCCAAAATTGGGCCAGGGATTTAGCTCAGTGGTGCTGCCACCTGCCTTGCAAGCACAAAGTCCAGAGTTTGATCCCTGGTACCAAAAAAAAAAACTCAAAAATTGTTTGGTTTTCCATTTTTCAGATATACTCTGAAACTAATGGTTGATAAAGCAAGTTTAGGTCCAACAGAAGATTTTGAAGCGCTAAACAGCTGTCTCGAAGAATATGAAAGTGACTGGTACATTGGTTTAGTATCAGATGAAAAGTGGAAGGAAGCAGTTTTACAAGAAAAGCCTTGCTTGTTCTCTCTGGGCTATGATCCTAATATGGTAAGGTTAAAAATGTTTTTTAACATTTTCTTATATTAACCTTAAAGACTAGAAATGTTATAAAATATCTGAAACAGGTGATAGACAACATTCTAGTTATTGATATATATTAATTACAGTTTCAGAGCATTTTTAATCATGACTTCAAAAATAACCCAGCCCTAGAAGTTAATTTATTTACTTTTCCCAACAGAGTAAGAAGCAATTAACAATATTGTATAGCCATTGTGCAACAACTAATCCATAAGGTAGCCAAGTACATATACTTTTCTATGGCATATTTGACAAAATGATTTGTATTGCTACGCCTCGTTCAAGTATAAGAATGATCTCTTGGTTTTGACTCCTAGAAGAAAAATTAGCTTATAAGTGGCAGATTACTTCTTTTGGTGACGTCTGTATTTTATTTGAAGCAAACCTAACCAGTAAGAATTCAGACCCCAGAGGATGATTTTTGAAAGATTGTTTTACTTTTTCTTATTGCATCAATTATGTGCACCATGAAAGACTCGATGTTACGAGCCTACTGTGCATTCCAAGTTTGACTAGCATTGCTGTGTGAGGACCTGTGCAAATGCTCTTCCCAACATAACTGATAAAAAAATTAAGATAACCACTGAAATTTTCAGAAACAGTCCATAGGGCATATAGTAAATGAAGAAATAAAGTTTCTCAGGAAAATCTAAAACCCAGTAAAAATAGCAAAAGACCAGAATTTGAATCAACACTTACTTCCTCCCACTCAGGAAAGAAATACTCTACGCTGGTGCCCCCAAGAACTCAAAGTTCCCCTTACCCTCTGTTCCCAGTTAGAGGAGTGTCTTCCCAAGTGGAACAGCCCCATGTTTCTCCTCCTGTTTCCCACTATTGCTGAGGCTAGATTCCAGTCATGTGTAGTCAAGACTTGGGGTCGGCCTTTTGGTAACCCTACTCCTGGGATGGGAGCTTTATCTTGGGCATGTCAGCATTGAGAATATTACAACCTGCTTGTCCTTGCTACTCCAAAAGCAGAAGTTCTACACCAGAAGAGGTAAGTTGAAATACCTGTCTCTGCTCTAGTGAGTGATTGTCATCTAAAGCAGAGGTGTCACTCAGAAGCATATTTTTCCACCTCATGCAACCTCAAAGAATTTGTTAGGTAGGAGAAGCATAAAAAGTGGAGCTCTGAAACTCTTCATAGAACTTATCAATTTCAACAGTGTGGATCCTTTGAAGCCTACCATGGTCTTAAAATCAATGCAGATAGTGGTGAAAAGTAAACTGGCTAGATTAACAAAGAGGATGGAGAAAGAAACAGCAGAGAAGAGCCTGAGAAGTCAGGTCATAACAAAGGTCAGATACTGATATCCAAAGCAATTCCTTTGAAGGAGCCCAAATTTGATTCGTTCAGTCTGTGAAGCAATTTATGACTCAGGTTGTTAGTGGAACTTAATAGAAGTCCTGTGGTCTTAGTCTCTAAAATCCAATAGTCACAGTTTAAAGGAGGAAAGGTTTATTTTGGCTCATATTTTCATTCTATAGTCAGTTGCCTTCATGGCGGAAATGAAATGGTAGAAGGGCCTAGGTAGAAGCAGCTAGGCAGCAGACAGGAAGAGAGGACATAGAAGGAGATACACTCCCAGGTTATTCTCCCAGTGACTCACATCCAACTAGCCCCCACCTCCTAAAAGTGAGTGATGTTTATTGCTGCCATGATCCAGTCACTTTTCAAAAGATCTACCTCTGAACATATGAGGCTTTTGGCTGACATTCTAGATCTAAAACAGTAATGGCAAACCTTTTGGAGATCAAGTACTCAAACTGCAACCCCAGATCCACTTATTTATCACAAAGTGACAACACTGCAATTAAACTTGAATAGGGCTGCTGAGGAAATGCTGGTGTGACTTGGCTCAATAGAGTGGGCTCTGTGTAGCTGCTGTAGCATATGTTCCCTAGGTTCACTACCAGGGATCTAAGTCTTAACACCTCCCAAACCTATTGTCCTCCTAAAGGAATTACAGGTATTTTGTGTGCCTGCATTCCCAGAGAACAATATCTTAGACTTCAAATAGGGAAAGGGTAGAGGGTAGATAAGACAATTTTAGCAGTAATCAAGCCATTCACTCAAAAAACAACTGAATATCAGTAATATGCTCAGGGAATAAGGGAGGATGAGGAGTGGTACCCAGCATTTCTACAGTGCTATCTAAAATGTCTAGTTTTCAACAAAGAATTGCAAGATATGCAAAGAAACAGAAAATTCTAACCCGTATAGGAGAATAAAAAGCAATGGACAGAAATTCCCTCTGAAAGCATCCATTTGTCAAATATAACAAAAATTTCAAAATAATAAAATATGTTCAGTTAACCAAAAGAAACCATGATTAAGGCAATAAAGGCAAGTATACTATACTCATCCAATAGAGTGTTGACAGAGAAATTATAAAGTATAAAAAAACTTACCACTGAGGTTTCACAGATTTACACTAGAAGAGAATCAGTGGACTTAAAGATTTTAGATCAGTAATGATTATACCATCCAAAAGAGGAGAAACAGGAAAAGGAAGAGAACTTCAGAAAATATGAGAAATTCATTTCATCAACCTACATAAAATGGTACCATGAGAGAGGAGAAAAAGAAAGGAGTAATAACATTAGCTGAAAACTCCCCATATTTATTGACAAACATATTACCAGAAAGCTCTATCAGTTTTAAGTAGGATAAACACAGAGAGATCCAAAAACACATTATATTAATTCAGAAATCAGGAAATTTAAAAGCAAGCAAAAATGGCGTGTAAAATTTTTTTTATTCTTTTATTAGTACATTTTACATATACATTACGTTTACATTTATCATTGGGTGCTTGTACCTGTACATGACATATCTTGGTTCTTATTTTTCCCCATTACCTGTGCACACTTCACCCCCTCCACCCTTCCTATTTACATACATTTCATATCCTTTTTTCTCCTTTCCTCATAATTTTTCCTTTCTGTTCTTCCCTTTACCCTTCCCCTCCCACCACCCCTACACTTTTGGACCTTTTTCTATTTCAAATTATCAATTATTCATTTTACTAATTTTAATCCTTATTTACAGTTTCAGTTTCTCACACTAGAGAAACTATTCGGTATTTACACATATGTGTCCTATTTATTTCACTTAAGAGAATGGCCTCAATATGCATCCATTTAGCTATAAATGTCTCTAGTTTCTTGTCCTTTATGGCTGAGTAGTACTCTATATTATAAAAAAGACATCTTTATCCAGTTTCCAGTTGATGGGCACTTGGGCTGTTTCCAGGCTTTGGCTATTACAAACTGTACTGTTATAAACATGGATCCACATGTATCACTGTGGTATGATTCTTTTAATTCTTTTGGGAAGACATCCAGCAGGGGAATAGCTGGATCAAATGGGACCTCTAGCCCTAGTTCTTTGAGTTATCTCCATACTGATTTCCACAGTGGTTGCACCAGTCTGCACTCCCACCAATGGAGAAGGGTTCTTTTCTCTCCACAACCCTGCCAGCATTTGTTATTGGTTGATTTCTTGATAGCAGCCATTCTTTGTGAGGTGAGGTGGAATCTCAGTGTTGTTTTCATCTCTGTCTCTTGAATGACCAGTGATGTTGAATATTTTTTCATATATTTGCTGCTTTTAAAACTTCTTTGTCTGAGAAATGTATTCATTTCAGATGACCATTTTTGAATTGGGTCTTCGAATTTGGGGTGTCTGATTTTTTTCAATTCTTTATATATTCTAGCTAGTAGACCTTTGTCTGAGGAGGTAGAGCTGCTAAAAATTTTTTCTCACATTGTAGGTTTTCTGTTAGCTCTGTTGGTGGTTTCTCTTGCAGTGCAGAAGCTTTTTAATATGATGAGATCCCAGTTGTTGATTCTTTGTGCTAGTTCCTGTGCTACTGAGGTTTTGTTCATAAAGTCTTTCCCTATGCCAATGTTTTCAAGAGCTCTACCTAACTTATCTTCCAGCAAGTTTAGTGTTTCTGTCTTAATATTTAGATCTTTAATCCATTTCGACCTTAGGTTAGTGCATGATGATAGATATGGGTCTAGTTTTAATCTTTGGCAGGTTGAAATCCAGTTTTTCCAACACCATTTGTTAAATAGGCTATCTTTCCTCCAATGAGGGTGGTTGGCTCCTTTGTCAAAGATGAGGTGGCTGAGTATGTCTGGAGTTGTTTCTGCATCTTCTAATCTTTTCCACTGATCCTCAGGTCTGTTTCTTTGCCAGTACCATGCTGTTTTTATCACAGTAGCTTTGTAGTATAGTTTCAAGTTGGGCATTGTGACACGCCCAGCCATGTCTCTGTTGCCTAGACTTGCTTTTGCTATTCTAGGTTTCTTCTGTTTTCAAATGAATTTTTGGATTGTTTTCTCTAGCTCTGTGAAGTATATTGTTGGAATTTCAATAAGCATTGCATTAAATCTATATAGTAGTTTTGGAAGTATGGCCATTTTCACTATATTGGTTCTTCGTACCCAGGAACAAGGGATGTCTTTCCATTTTTTTATATCCTCCTCGATCTCATTCTTCACAGTGTTGTAGTTATCACTGTAGAGGTCTTTTGCTTCCTTTGTTAGGTTGATTCCTAGATATTTCTTTTTTGGGGGATGCTATTATAAAAGGAATTGTTTCCCTAATTTCTCTCTCAATGAGTCTGCTATTTGGGTATAAGAAGGCTATTGTTTTTTGAGCATTGACCTTATATCCAGCTACTCTACTGAATCTGTCAGTTAGGTCTGGAAGACTTCGCAGAGTTTTTTGGGTCTTCTGTGTTAAGTATCATATCATCAGCAAATAATGAGTTTAAACTCTTCCTTTCCTATCTTTATTCCTATTATTTTTTCTCTTTTCTAATTGCTGTGGCAAATGTTTCCTGAACAATATTCAACAGAAGTGGTTATAGTGGGCATCCTTGTCTTGTTCCTGATTTTAGCGTGAAAGTTTTCAGTTTTTCACCATTTAGTATGAAGTTGGCTGTTGGTTTTTC